AGGACTTAGCTGAGGAGTGAGGTGTGCAGAAGGGAACGGGCATGCGCAGAGTGCTCAGCCCTTCAGGGTTCCCCATACTGGGCTCTATCCGCAGTGCCGTGAGACAGACGGGGCCCTGTACGCGAGGAGCGGCCAGCAGCTGCTCCGTGCCGCCAGGGACCGCCTGGCTGCCAACCTGCCAGGGCTGCTGGCACGCCTGCTTGGGTGATAAACCAAAGGCCGCTTTCTTCAACCTTGCCTTTAACAGCAAGAAAGCCGCTTCTTCTCCAATTTGGTACTTGTGCCTATTCTTCATCTGTTTCCAAACTGGGTGAGGGAAAGGATATGTTATCTATCAGATCCCTGTATCAGGTTTTGTAGCATAACAAATCACCCCAAAACTCAGTAGCTTAAAACCATACCATTTATTAACTCATAATTCTGAGGGTCATCTGGGTCGTTCTGGTCTGAGCCAGCCTGGCTGATCTCTGCTGGGCTTGCTCACAATGGGCAGGCTGCTGTCGGGGTGGCTGGCAGCTGGCTGGTCTAAAACGTCCTCACTCCTGTCTGGCAGTTCACGCCATGTGTCTCTCATCACCCAGCAGACTACCAGGCTCATTCACATGGTGGTGACAGCGAGTCCCCAAGAGCAGCAAGGGAGGACTAACTCCAATACACAACCAAGTCTCAAGTCTCTGGTTGCGCTATATTTGCTAATGGTTCCAGTGACCCAAACGAATCTCCTGGCCAAGCCTTGAGTCCGTGAGAAAGGAGACTGCACAGGGTATGGACGCAAGATAAGGAATTATGGTGGCCATTTCTGGAAATAATCAGATTGTGTCCATTAAAATGAAATGGTCACGAATTCTTTGACGTTCTTCCCGTTGAGAGGTGTCCCCTACCCCTGAAACTGGGCAAGCTTGTGCCCACTTTGATGTAACAGAGTACAGGAGCAGTGACGTGCCACATGATTTCCCAGGCTATTTCAGGCTTCCTCCTGGTCCTCTTGCAACACTGCCTGTCAGCATGCTCCCTCTTGAAACACGTCTCCCTCTCAGACCCTAGCCACCATGCTGGGAAAAGCCCGCCTGTGTTTTACCTGCTAAGTTGTTGGCGGGGGGGTAGGGGGGTGTTAGGCAGCAAGAATAACCGGACACACACCAATCACAATGTTTGCCTCTCTTCATCATTCACAGGATCATATTTTTATCAAGTTAAACAAACAAGTCAGTAACAGATGAAGTTTAAATATCAATAGTTTTGTTTGCCTTTTGGGGATACTTAGAAAAAGTATTTAAAGTGATCTGAATAGAACAGTAAAACCAAATAATCCAATAAAGCAGAAGCTTTATTTCTCAACAAAATTCTCACTGTGCACAATTACTTATGTGATCATTAACAAATTAATTCAACAAGTATAAATTGGGTGTTAGACCCTATTTTTGTTGCTGGTCGTTCACCAGTGAACCAGACTAAGGCTCTGTCTTTACATAGCATATATTTCGGCTAGAGACAATAAACAAAAAAAGTATATAACAGTGAAAAAAGCAAACATTTATTGAGTGCTTACTATGTGCCAGGCACCATTACAGGTGCTTTAAATACTAATAAATTATTTATATGTCACTACAACCTATGAGATCAGTACCATTATTTATTGCTGTTTCAAAATGAAGAAATGGAGGGAATTAAGTAACTTGCTATCTTTTTGTTCAGACATTGGAAACCACATGATAAACTAGTAAGAGTTGCAAAATTGGGCTCATGGATAATGCCGCAAATAATAAACCAAGAAAAGATAGGAGTTGCCTGTATTTAACCAATTCCATCCTCATCTCTAGCATTTATACACCTACTGTGTGTGTCTCCTATTACACCAGGCTCTTGATACGCTACTGTGAACAGGACAGCCACGTCTCTCGTCCTCGGTTTATGCAAGCATATGTACACCTGAAATCATAGTTTTTTCACAGTGTATGTTTCTCTGTGCTATTCTTCTTTTAGAAGATAGAATCCCTTGGGACTTGTACCACATTTTCTCCACAATCTAAATTGCTCCCAAGCACCATAGATTTAAGGTGGCACATGTGACTATTAATAAATGCAACACATTTCTAAAAGTTTCCAGTTCATAACACTAGATCCAAAATCCTTAAATACAAATGTATAAATATTGTGAGACCGAATAAGCTTTCACAAAATAGGGGAAATATTATTTCACATCAGCCAAACATCTGAATGTGCTTCCATATTTTATCTTCTCTACTGAAGCAAATGTTTGCCATCTTCTATTTTAGTAAAACCTCTCTTCTAATGACACTAAGCTCAGGGATACATAGCTTTCAAGTGAGTTTCAAACCTAAATTTTATAGCATATCTTCTCTTACAAAATGGGAGAGAAGTTACTGGGCTTTCTTTTCCACTTCCTGGGTACACAATTCGCTTGAGTGACCTTGTGCTTGCTTCAGGGTAATAATTTTAGCCAATAACAATCTATGCTTTTACTAGGCGGCTGCTGGAAAAGAAGACAAAATAAACTTCCTACAAAATGGCAAATCTCATCTGCTTTCTGGGCTACAAGAAGCTAATTTTTAGCAGCTTAGGGAGAATACACAAATGGATTTACTCATTGCTTTAAATCCCCATAAGTCAGAAGGCAACTCCCAGTGACCACCTATGAGTCAGTCCTCTAGCTATACAGGATGAAATTTCCTGCTCTTACCACTAATGTGCTCCTTTCCTCTCCAAAGCAAAGGATACTCTTAAATACCAGGGTGTTCCCACTACCACAAATTTCATTGTGGGAACAAATGGTAACAAACACCATATGAAATCCATTCATGAAGATATATTAATCTTAATTGGAAAAGGACTGAGTGTTTAATATTTATTCTCCATGGATACTGAAAGCATCAGGGGACATGAAGATACTTTTGTTTAGAACTTAAACTTCAAAATTTACACACAAAGTTATTTTTCTAATACTTATAATAAAGTAATCCTGAATTATTTTCCTAGAATCCTCAAGAGTAATATTGATTAAACCATTCCAGAATGTTTAGGGATAAAGTCTACAATGAAAAGAATAGTAAACTTATCCCACTTCAAAAACAGTTTTGTTAATTAATAACTCAAGTTAATTTGTCTTGTCATGAGAAAGCACTAAAGATGCATGAATAGCTTTCGGAATAAAATTTAATCACTCCTTAAAATGGTGCTGTTAAAACTGAGGCACACCTCTTCCTAGACAGCACTCATCAGAGTTTGCCTAACAACTTTGGCAGGGGTTATAATCATTTCCCTTTCGTTACAGCATACGTGGTCTGCATGAGTCCTTTTGTTTCCATATTTGGCATATAAAATCATTTAACCTAAGTGGCACTATCCTACTCAATTTCATTTCACATTAAAACTTTCTCTTTAAGACATTTCTCTAATAATTATACATTTTTACAAATATGGATAATCCCAACACATGGCACACAAAAGTGTGTAGTCGGGCCAACTAAAATGGAAAATTAAATTATTTAAGAACTACAGAATGCTGGAAATGGGAAGAACAATAGGATTCATCCAATTCAATACCATTGTTTCAAAGATAAAGAAGCTCTAGCCCTGGAAGGTTATGCTATGAATCATGATTCTTCTTTTTTTTTAATCAGCTACATAGTTTGCCTAAATTACTAAAAACAATAATTTTCAAATGACACTCCTCTGGTTCTAGGGCTGGTTAGGAAGATCTCAAGGGTCCCAGGGGGTGCAGGGGTTCTGAGCTACCCAACTCCTCTTCAACTAGTTCAGGTCTCATTTTACCTGTTTCATCTTTGGGGTTCAGCATTTCATTTGAAGAAGAAACAGCACTTTTATAAAAAAGACTAATGAGCACACTTGAGATACTTTAGTCAACTCTGTCATTTTTTTCTAGTCCAAATTTAGACTTTTTTTCTTTCTTTTTTTTACTTCAAAATATTAAGGAGGTACGAATGTTTTTGTTACATGGATACACTGTATAATGCTGAAGTCAGGGCTTTCAGTGTGAGCTAAATGATGGGTACACACAGGCACAGAGATTTTTTTCTTTCTAACAATAGTGCGATGGGATGGTGAGACAGCCATCAGGGCAGCGGAGGTTCGTACTGTGGCTCTCAAAGAACCCAGAGATCTCGACAGGACAACCAGACTATGGCTGGGGATGCACAAAACCCGGAGTCATCGCCTTAAAGTTTCCAAACTGATCACAATGAAATCAACAGGAGCAGAGACCTCAGGGTAGTGCTGTGGGTACTGCAGCTCCAAAGCACTGACCACAGCGCCATATTTATAGCAGACACGGACAACCTCACGTTGCACTCTCATGCTCACTTTAGAAAATTCTGGATCTAGGGCTATTGTAAGCAGACCTCACCTGATTTTGTTCATTTTTTTTTTTTTTTACCTTTCACAGGGAACATTTCACTTCTACAGTCACAAATCATGTCTAAAGGAGGCTAATAAATCTGTGTTTTACCTAACAAGTTTTATCACATTCCAATTACCTAAATACACTGGAAGAGAAACAAAATTTCTCAAAATAAAATTTGAAGTACAGGTCTACTCCCTTTATGAGACAAATGTTACCCCAAAAGTTTTTAATTTAAAATTCATGATTTATATTTTGTTTTAATCATAGAATAAACACTTGGTTAAAGAAAATAACCCTTGGAGGATCTTTTTCATACTGTTTTGACTTTAAAGACTTATGGATATGAAAAACAGTTGGTCAAGTACTTATTTCTTTATCAGACTTGTAAAACGTTTTTCGAAGGTAAAGATTTTAAGCGACCTTTAAAAAGATTTTAAACTACATTATATTATAAAGCAAGCTGGCATGCAAAGGTTAAAAGCCTAAATGTAAGACAAGGAAACATATTCTTATACCTATCTCTTAAAAGCACAAGTATCTAAAATATTCTGCTATTCTGCTACAAATATATGTTTTACTCTTCTGAACTTCTTTACAAAGCTTCAAGTAAAATACTCACAGTTACTTATTACTCCTCCCAGTGGATCACCTTTAAAGTCAAATTCAATATCCATATATTTGCCCTGCCAAAAAAAGATATTGTGAGTTTTCAAGTTTCATATACTTGAAGCATTCAGTCCATGTACTTCTTAGAGAATAGCATACTAAGCCCTTATTTTAATGCATTTGTTTAAATGTAATTAAGAAAAACACAGTTTATATAACCATGATGCAAAACAATATGCTCCCATAAATAATGCAACTAAATGCGCCACTAGCTCAAAGTGAATACAGCCTGTTGCTAATTTAAGAATAGATCTTCTCAACCATCATGTAACTGTTCCACTTTAGATATGTGTTTCAAACTTCTGAAGGGTGTGTGTACTCAATTCAAGAACAAAAAATGGGAAAAATGAGTAGTCCTGGTATAAACACTGTTTGGGAAGATAAATTATTTCATTTTTTTAATAGGCAAAATATGTTTTAAGCCATGGCTAGACACTCCAAACATATTAGACAGTGGATGAAATGCAACATTAAGAGATGTTTTTATATGTACTTAAATCAAAACACAATTATATGGTGTGACCAGCTCAGAAGTTTAGCTCAGAAGTTTAGCTCAGAAGCACTTATCATTATTACATTTTTTGGCTTTTGACCCAGATTATATAGCAATATATAACCCAGGTTCATATTACACTTTATAGATGGTATCTTAAACACACATAAACACACATGGAGTTTAATACTATGATTTTTAAAGAATTGGTCTGTAATTGCCTAGTTAAAGAGTAACAAGTATAACAGAAAAACCCTGACAGCTGTTTCTTGTTCTGAAAAGGGTGTGTTGATCTAATAAGGAAAGTCTTAGGTTTTGTTTCATGCCCTGAGAATTACTTTAACTCTTTCTAATTTTCCAAATGATGGTAAGGAAGGAGAAACATGATCCCAAGGAACTCAGTCAATAATGCAACTTGTGACTTTTTATTAGCTTACCCATACTCCCTTCTCCTTCTCCCGTTTCACTGTCATGGGTCATCTACCTTTTAAGTCTGTATTTATTCATAAGCAAATGCCCATCAAGTGCTTCCTTGATGCTGAAGTGGGCAAGGGGAAAGCAAGGCACAGCTCCTGCCTTCGAGGAGCTTATTGTCTAGTGAGGAATTCAGACAGGTCAGCAGGCCATTCCAGGGTGGGAGGATACATCCTGTAGTGGGTCTGGGTGCTATGCACAAAGAAACAGGGATGAAGGGAGAACGGGAAGTCGACCCCCACTTAAATGCAACGTATCAGGAGAGGTGAGGCAGCAGGTATAAGGACTGGTATCTGCGAGGATGGTGAGTGGGGAAACAAGGTGGGAGAGGGAAACTGGAACCCCCCCTCCCCCACAACTTTGAGACATTCTTCTTGCAGCAAAGCCATGTCCTTAAAGGCTCCTAAACAAGGATGCCATGATCAGGCCTGCTTATTTACAAGATCATCCTGTCCAGTGTGGAACGGACAGGAAAGGAGCAGGACCAGATGTAGCAGACAGGAGGTGGCTGCAGTGATTCGGGGAGAAATGTTGATGGCTTTAAGTAGGAGCCACAAAAGAGAGAAGTAAACAAAGTTTAGAGCTACCGAGAGAGTCTCAGTGACACACCTGGGCTGGAATAGGAAATGAGAGAGGATAAAAAGTCCAGGAATGTGGCGCAGGCAACTGAGCAATTAGGGAGGCCCTCCATGGTGATGGGGGACACAGGAGGAGAAGCAGCCACAAAGGAAAGGAGGGGAGGAACGGTGACTCTGTCCAGGGAGCTAGAAGCTGACCACGTAAGATGCAGTCGTTTTGACAGAAGGTGGTCCCTGGCACAGGAGGCGACAGGACCTAGGGCACAGGTGGAGAGATTTGTGAGACCCATGACAGGAGGGAGTGTACGCAGACATACGTCCAGGTGACGCACCGGAAAGCAGGAGTAATTCAGTGTGACGATGATGATGGTTTCTGTGAAGGGACAGGAGGTTTGAAGAGAGCAAAATAAACACTGAAGAGAATGCAAAAGGAAGCCAGCCAGGGCTAGTGGTTGGCTAGTGGCCGGCCCCGAGGACTCAGCTGACAGTGGACTGACACTTCCCTTTCAGCCACTTCTGGATGACTTGCCAAAAGCCTGATTCTTTCTGATCAGGTCACTAGGTCTGCTCAGAAATAAGCAGTGGCTCCCCAATACCTACGAAATGACGCCTGACCCCATGAGCCTGACACTCAAAGCCCTCTGGCTGGGGCCTTGCCCCGTGTTCCTGGCCATTGTCCTGTGGCTCCTGTCACACCCTCTGGCCCAGCAGCCATGAGCTCTGCACACGCAAGTCCATGTGGTCTCTCTCCTGGCTTCCTCATGCTGTAACGCCAGCCCCTCCCCCTTGCCACACGATTTTGGCACATTTAAATCCTCAGGCCCCCTCAGGACTATGCCCTGCGCTAGACTCCTCCAGCTTCTCTTTTCTGTACGTGCGTAAAACTTCACCTATACTTTTCATGAAGAACTTACTATTTTGTGTTGTGTTATAATTATTTTCAGATATATCCAATTTTTCTGACTTGTCTACAAGCCTCCTAAAAATAGGTATTCATTCATCAATAAATATTTTCTGAGCATCCACTATGGTGCCAGGCACTGTTCTAGCTACTCAGGCCACCGCAGCGCACAGGAAGTCCAGGGTACTTGCTCCCGTGGGCCCTACTGGTGTCTAGAGTCAAGGATCACAAAGTAAATAAATGCAGTCATTCCAGAGACTGATACATGCCTTAAGAAAACAAAAACTGGATGAAGTCAGAGTCTACGAACAGTGTCACAGAAGAGACATCTGAGAGCAGACATAATGGTATGAGATGCTACGAGCCATGCATAGATCTGGGGCCAGAGCACAGCATGCGAGAGGAAGCACCTGGCAGCTGAGGCAGAGCGAAGGAGGGCAAGGAACAAAGACGGGGTCCTGGCAGACCAGGCCCCAGCTCACGCAGGGCCCAGCAGGCCCCGAAAGGAGTTTGAATTGTATTGTAGGAGCAAGCAGGAGCCATGGGGGCCTTTCAGCAATGCAGGGATGGGATTTAAGTAAAGGTCACTCTGCTGCTGGCAGGGAAAGAGTGCAGGCTGCAAGGGGAAATGTGGGAAGATTTATATTTAACTATGTTAAAAAAAAAAATAGCTTTTAAACAAATGAATAAATTTTGTGAGCTTTTTTTATTCTTACTGAATGAAGTTTGGTAATGAATTTTTCCCAACCCTGCAGGTTCTTACACTCTCCAGTGCCTTGCTCAGGTCTTTGCACATAGTAGATGCTCAACAGGTTACCCACCCCACAAAGCCTTGGTTGAAAACAGTGATTTTAAAAGCTTTAAAAAAATTTTTTCTTTCCAAAAACAGTAGGCCCCTTTCTTAAAAGAAGCTCAATATGTCAGCTGTCGTGATGGGAGGGGACACTTTGAGGACACTGGGGAATGTCAGCTACGATGAGCTTGTATCCACCACAACATAGCAGGTCCATCAGATTCTCAGTGAAGAGGTCAAGAAACTCATTCCAGGTTAACCAGTCAAAGACACCGAAGGAACAGCAAATTCCCTGGAGCACAAGCATACAGTACATAAACCACTCTTATGTACAGTAGTAACTTTAAATACTGTAGAGTCCTACTGTGAAATTGTAACATATATTTGGGTATATTATTAGTCAAGTCACAGACCACAAAGCAGAGAAATTGCTAAAAACTGGGCATGAAATGATTTAGCCTATAATCGGGTATTAATCTCATATCCTAACACTGGTGTTGTAATAGGATTTCTCTAAAGTTACTTAATAAGCCAAATCACCTGCCAAGCCTTTCACTACATTTCAAATATCACTAAGTAGTAATGACCTTTTAAGCAATATGATTTTCTGCATTTTTATGGTCTGTAAACTAAATATATTTGCAAATATATTTTTAAAAAGTGTGTGTGCATATAATTTGCAGACAGCAAAATAAAATCTCCATCACATAAAGAAGCTTCGTCATTGGCATTACTTCTCTCTGCCCACACTTCGCTTCTAATTCTATTTATGTAATGAGATTAGCTACATTACCACAACAGGAAAAGGCATGGATCAAATCAGTTACAACAACTTAAGGGGCTAATGTGATGGAAAAAATTCACAGCCTTGGAATTAGGAGCCTTATTTAGCCTTTCACTTTCTAAACTATCAGAACTATCTCCTCCTGAGGTCATTCTCTTGCCTTAAGCACCAAATAACCCTAATGAGGAAGAAGCCAAAAGGGATCTCAAAGAAGAAAGAGGAGAAAAGTCAGGAAGGGTCTTGGGTAGGGAGGCATAAAAGATCATCACATATGGCACAAGTAACGTATATGATAAGACAGCTCATAAAGTAAACAATCTTTTTATTATAAAAATGTATAAACTTAATTAAACTACAGGAAAAAAAGAACCAACCAACTTCAAAACATGAACATCATGCTCAATACTTCCCGCAGCTGCGCCCAGGCAGTGTTTGTGTCTTTGTAAAGGCCGGAGGCACCAAACATGACCCAGCTGGAGGAGCCCATGTGCCAATATGAGGGCACATGCCCGAGAGTGGGGGTTGGGGCGGTTGAGGCTGAAAGGCGGGACAGGCCAAGCCCCTTGTCAGTGGAAGCAGCATTTTCCACCCAAACTCAAAACACCAATTAGCTTCAGTTTTTACTACTCAGTTCTACTCCCCACAATCCCCACCTCCAACCCCTCCATCCCTACCCCTGCCCCTCTTGCATTTGTTGCCAAACCTATTGATTTTACCTCTATAAAGATTCAGAATACACCCCATCCTTCCTGGGCCCTCGAAATAAGGCACAAGGGCTATACAGTATACACACCTGACACCCAGTTTATCTTTCTTTTTACTTAATTTGTGATTCTTAATTATGCCTTCTAAATACCAACACTCTGATGAGTAATGAGTTACTCCAAACAGCCTCATTTAAATTGCTTATGGAATTTTATGATAGAAGAAAATGTCAAGAAAACATGATAAAAATAGCTTGTTACTCCAAAAACAACTAAAAAGGAAAATTCCAGAAAGTAAAAAAGAGTCCTTATAGAACTTTCAGTGTCCAAGACGATGTTCTTCTTATTTTAAAAATGTGTGTATGAAGAAACATTAAATGCCTACTGGTTGTTTAAACATACATGAGCCAAATATTAGTGTTAACACTTGTGCTTATACAAATACTTACAAATCTAGAGGAGTTGTCATTCCTTACAGTTTTGGCATTTCCAAAAGCTAGTAGGAAAGAAACAGATGCATGGTTAAAGTTGACAGAAAAAATAACTTCAAGCAGAAAAATAAAGCAAATACAGTATTTGACATCTATAATTTCTGCAAACTACAACTTGTAGCAATGACATTTCTGTCCACAATTTCTATAGAAACATACTTACCAAAGTCTTAATCAGCTGCTAAAACTTCCATGTCTTATTTTAAGTTCACAGAAAAAGAGAGTCATCCCTATGATTCATGGAATTTTTTCAACCATTACTGTAAACGTAATCTTATCTAATTCAATACCTCTCAACACTTAGATAGTCGTCAGTCAATTCAGTGGCCAGCTAGCAAAGCTTCTATGCTCTTACACCATTATTATCAGCGAATAGGTTATTTCAGAGATTACTTACTGTTATCAAAGGCTTTCTGGAACTTGAGGAAGTTTCCAGATCATGGAAACAGCATGTGAAATTTTAAATTGTTTAATTAATTTTAAAATAAGGCTACTTAAATGTGATTATTATGTAACTCTGAAATACAGAAAGAATGGAAATAAAAGTTGTTTCCAACGGGCTGAAAATGCTACAGAGTTTCATTAGTTCATGCCCATCAGATCTAAGTGAAATTTTCCAGAAAATAAAGAAAACTGAATTGGCTCATAATGCAAAAGCTGTTCCGATCTTAGCTGCTTCCAGATGACAAATCCCCCATAGGACTCCCTTTTAAATGAGGGCACATAAGAACCAAAGAGTTGACACTGTCCCAGGCACAGAGTACGCCTGTCTAACACAGGGGCAAAAAGTAAAAGGACTGTTTCACCAATCTTCACCAAGCCTGTGTATAAGAGAGGGGCAAATTAATCTGGGCCATGGCAGTAGGGTTCAGGAGAATAAGCATAAATTGAATAAGCAGAGGTGATACCTGTTGGGGGCTCTGCAAGCCCAGCCTGGATGTAAAGCCCACCTGTACCTTCTCGAACTTTAATGTGCAAACCAATCATCGAGGATCTTACTAAAGCACAAACTCAGGTGCAATGGGTCTGGGACAGGCATGAGATTCTCCATTTCTACCAAGTCCCCCATTCACCCAGACTGTTACTAGGATGTAGGGGCCACACTGTAACTAGCAAAGAATGCATGACAATGGGGTAAACAGCAATGACTCTCTGGATTAAAGGGTAGGCATCAAATCTCTGGAAGCCTCCATAACTTCTTCAAATTAAACGAGGAGAAGAGGATTAGAGTAACAAGCACTCACATGCGAACTAAGGGCCAAAAGCTGGTCTGAGTTTTGAAAGCAGTCACCTGATCAAGGAGTGAGGGTGTGGTGCTTATGTAGAAGTTAATTTTACTCAGCAACCAAGCCTGATGCATTATATTTTGCATTAGGGGGCTTTTTTATGTTTTTTACTTAAAATATATAGTTGGCTCAAGTTCAGCTACAGCAAAACTTACAAAGTCTACACAGGGAAAGTTCTTTGCATTTGAGATGCTGCTTGGGCTGAGTATGGTTCGGTAGGTCCTGATACCAAATTCTCTCTCCAGCAGAAAACATGCTGAGATGCTACATGGAATGAGGAAAACTGCACACTAAAAATACTCAAAAAAGATGCCTGCTGGGGAGGTTCCCACCCTTATCCCACGTTCACCACCAGCTAAAAGGCTTTCATAAATGCAACCTTGATGATGGTGTGAGCTGACCTAGTTATCATGAAGACTATGACATTGCTTGTGTTTTCACAGGCTAGTCCTTTGTGGTGGGTGTGAACAGGCCAGGCTGCCAAGTTAGCTAACTTGGACAACCCCAAAGTCCCGTTAGAGATGCTGGTGCATAAAGGACGGCTTATTGTGGCTTGAAGGTCAGGGGCAAGTGAAGGAATTGCTTCAAAAACACTTTATTTGGGGCATCATTTGCAAGCCATAAACCATCTTTTCATCAAACAAATCTGAGTTGCACATTACTAAACATAACCCTAAACACTAAAGTCTTTTATTGTGAGCCACAGAATCAAAGACAAGAGGTCCATTATAGAACACTTGAGACACATTCCTCAATTGTTTTTTTTAAGTTCATTGTTCTAAATGTTCATTTACAGTAGCAGCTCCAGTTAAAAAGTAAAGCATTCCCATAAAAGATAATACATGCCCACAAGGAGACATTTCTTCCATCTCCTGCACTGAAGCCTAGTTTCAAATACCACTGAATAAAAAGGCAGATTCTAATCACAGATGCAAGCTACAGCATTCCACAGTGTTTCGCCTGTACATCACAGCATTCTTAAAATAAGCATATACAGAAATACAGCATATGCATAGCACCCTAACTTAAAAGCAAAAGATAACAAACAAAAAGTCAATATTGAAACAATAAAGTGAAGAGATCCCACTTCCCATAATAGCCTCTTTCTCAGTTAAGGTACTAAAGGAGAGGAAAAATAAAAAACAGCATAATAGCTTATTTGGCCTTTGCTTCTCTCTTATTCTATCTGGGGGTGCAGATGCATGGTGTCTCCTTGTAATACAACGGAGAAACTGGAGCAGGAAAGTGTATCTCGGGGTCACAGTGAATGCTCAGTGTTCAGGAGCATCTCCAAAGGGAAGGAGAGGCTGGGCCTGAGTATAAAGGACAACAGAACAGGGTTCTGTCCCTCCACATGGGGGAGAGGGGTGCCCACCTGCCCCCGAGCAGCTCTGCTTTAATCTATGTTAAATCTTGTCCTTCCATGACTTTGCTTCCACAACTTTGACCAAAAGTTTGCACCAAACTACTTCTCTGGCCCAGAGATTCTAATCAGGGGTGGTTTTGACCCCCCAGGGGACATCTGGCAATGTCTGGAGACACTTTCAATAGTAACAAAACTAGGGGCAGGGGAGCAAGTGCCACCTGGTGAGTAGAGGTCAGAGCTGCACAGGACAGCCCTCCACAGCAAAGACGCAGACAGTCCAGCAGTGCCAAGGCTGAGAAACCCTACTCCCCAACAAGTGTGTTAAATGATAGCAAAGACACGCTTACAGTATGAAGCAACTGTAATGGCTTGCTTTGATTTACTGTTTCCAACAGAAGAGTGGTTTATGCTGACGGTGTGTGCCATCCCTGATGGCATTAAGGGAACTCATCTGTGGCTTTGTCTTCTGATGGTGTTATGGACTGAATGCTTGTGTCTCCTCCAAAGTCATATATTGGGTTAGGGCTCTAACCCTCAATGTGATGGTATTGGGAGGTGGGGCCTTTGGGAAGTCATTAGGGTTAGATGAGATCATGACAGGTAGGGCCCTCATAATGGGATTATTGTTCTTATGAGAACAGATCCCAGAGAGCTGGCTTGTTCTCTCTCCCCACTCCAGCACAATGAAAAGGTCATGTGAGCACACAGCGTGATGGCAGCCACCCCACAGGCCAAGAGAGGAGGCCTCAGAACGAAAGCTACCTGACCAGCACCTTGATCTTGGACGTCTAGACTTCAGAAGGGTGAGAAAATAAGTTTCCATTGTTTAAGCCACCCAGTTTGTGTACTTTGTTGTGGTAGCCCGAGCTGATTAATACAGAGAGCAAACCGGGGAATCTGTGAGCTCTGCGGTCAGGTTTAGGCTTCCTCTGACCTTGAAAAAACTGGTCCTTAAGTGTTTCTTTGGCATAGCCTTTGTTTCCCTGACAACAAAAATAACCAGCACCAGGTATTATCCTGAATTATAAAACAGCACTGCACCTTCAAATGCAAATATCAGTTGATTATTTTTAAGCAAAATCTAGGTAATTCAAATAAAAATTGAATGGGGAAAAGTGGTTATTAAATGGGAAAGCTGCGTTTACATAAGTAAACTGTTCCCTCCACTAAGCATGTGAAGCCAAGAGTTCCTAAGCTACAGCTTATTTGCTCAACAGGACTTGGCCTGAATCTCTTCCTTCCTCCTCCCTCCAAGAATACCTCCCAGTAAACCAGGTACTTGAAGTGCCCCGAAAACTGAATCTACTGTTTGAGTCACACTGACCTAATGTACAAAAAAATCCTACCTTCCAAGACCGGGTTCGACTGTAAAAGCTGTTCTTTGACTTGGTTAACTTCTGCTCCTTTTCCACAAACAGCTGCCACATAGGACATGACAAGCTTGCTGGCCTCTGTAATGAAAACAAATCATATTAATCAATAAAGCAGAAATTTTAAAAATCTTTTTTGGGGGGAGGAAATCTGGGGGAGAAGACCCATTAATAGTGTTTTCAAATGCCCTTATTCCTGGGAATAAATGTTTTGGAAACCTTTTTAAATATGTGTGCTTTCTATTCAGTGACATGTCATCATTTCAGATATAACAGGAATTACACTTAAAAGTTATCACTGGGCAAAAAATTGCCTAGTAACATAGCCAACAAAATCTCAGGAGAATTATCTTCTTAAAGCAATCATTTGTATACAATTACTATATTACACACAGATGACTCAAGCCAAAAATAACTTGGTAACATTGGTATCTTTACCAAATGTATCTTTAAAGTTTAAAAGAATCGCTCTTCCTCAAAGATATTTTCTAAATCAAACTGGTTTGCTCACAACTAGACTTAATTAATTCATCTCAACTCAATTCAAAAATTAAGCAGCTAATATAAGGACTTGGTAACAAGAAATATAGCCATTTCAGGGCAAGGTAGTTTTAACAGGCTTCACTAGTAACCCCAAAAGATAAACTGCTAAAGAAGAAGCCACATGAGGCGTATGAAACATTGTTAGCTCAAACTGGTGAGGTGGACAAAATGTGTTTTTGGTGGTTTTATCCTTTCCCTATCAGTCCATGTCCCCTTCTCAGCATCTGCCTCCTAGAACCTGATTCTTTTAACCTTGAGATACAAAGAACGTTAACAGGTATTCAAGGAAAATGAGGTCCCAAGTCAAATGAATTTGGGGCCACAGTGAGTGAGAGGCAGTGAAACAAGTTTTCTTATCAAAGGGCTTCTCAGAGCCCTTAATGTGACCATGTGCACTGCTGATCTCCGGAAAAAGATCTAGGATGCTGTGTTTCCCTAACTGATTTGCCATGGAATCTATTTCCCATTGAGCTATTGTAATTAGCTGTTTTAATGTTCCATAGTCAGGATCCAGGAAATGCTCAACTATTAAATATCAGCAGAATAAAATGTAGCCCCTGGTCTGGGCGATCAAGGTAAGGACACCAATCTTTCCAAATTTTGCTTTGTTCTCAAGTCTTTGCTCTGGTGCCACTGTCCGCGGGCAGGTGAGCCCTCCCCAGGTGTGAGAGATGGTACTTCTGCCTATGGGTGTAATGGGGCAACCTAAACACCGCCGTTTCTCACAGGGAGACCTGCAGGTGGACTCCAGTCCCATCTCCCGCCACTGAGGAGCTAACAAACAGCTGGAACGCCACTTTGTGTGCACTGACCAACAAGTGCTTTAGAGCCTTTGGGCAACCTAAAAGCATCAACAGGAGCCACTGAGGATCAAGGGTCACATAAAGCTTTCAAGTCCTAGGTTGACTGCTCTCTGAGTACTAGCAAACGCAGTATGGGGGAAGCAACCAGTCCCGTGGAGCCTGGAGAACCATGGTGGGAGGGAGGGTACTTCTTCAGTGGCTGGAGTTAAGTCTCCACTTAATTTGCTTTCTGGGTAATGAAAATAAATCCAGATAGATCCTCTGGTGGTCTGTGATGGCTGATTTCTGCTCTCTCCCTTTAAAGACAGTAACCAAGAAACAATGGCCTTTTCTTCTTTGCAGTAGCCTTCCTTCACGGGGCACTGTCTGTGATATGGTTTGGATGTTTGTCCCCTCCAAATCTCATGTTGAGATTTGATCCTCAGTGTTGGAGGTGGGGCCTGATGGGAGGTGTTTGGGTCATGGGGGCAGAGCCCTCATGAAGGGCTTGGTGCCCTCCCCACGGTAATGAATAAGTTCTCAACTCTATTAGTCGTGTCAGAGCTGGTTGTTTAAAGGAGCGTAGGCACCCCCTCCCTTCTCTCTTGCTCCCTCCCTTGCCATTTGACACACCTGCTCCCCCTCCACCTCTGTCATGAGTGGGGGCTTCCTGAGACCCTCATCAGAAGCAGATGCTGGCACCATGCTTCTTGTGAGGCCTGAAAAACGGTAAACCAAATAAACCTCTTTTCTTTATAAATTACCTAGACTCAGGTATTCCTTTAGCAGCAGTCCCCAACCTTTTTGGTACCAGGGACCATTTTCATGGAATGCAATTTTTCCACAGCCCGGGGGTGGGGGGGAGCAGACGGTTTTGGGATTATTCAAGCACATTACATTTATTGTACACTTTATTTCTATTATTATTACATTGTAATATACAATGAAATAATTACACAACTCACCATAAGTCGGGGACCCCTGCTTTATAGCACTGCAAAATGGACTAAGACAGTCCAAGTCCACATAACACATCCTCCATTGATTAAAGTTTCAACTACGTTTTCCATTGTTTTCAGGGTTTGACTAGATAAAAGCAGGTAAATTACATGTAGATAGTCCTGTTGCTCCATTCAGGCTGTCCTGAACTGTCACTTACAGACAAAGAGTTTATATACTATCACATTTCATTTGACTCCAGGGGGCCACATTTCCCTCCATCCACCAGTTCAAGGTGGAACTCTTCTCTGGTCAGTTCAGGATACTTTCTTTCTAGGCTCTCTGCCTTTCAAGTTCAGGTCAGTCTGCCCTCCCAGCAAGTTCCTGACATCCTGTGCTACCTGGTCTCGAGTTCTGGGCCAGCTCTCCGGAATCGCCTGTGAATTCCAGCTCTGGGGTCTGGCCTCTGAAGCGACTCCCCACCAGGCTTCTCATCATTCTGCTTTCTCTGCAGCATTCTTTGTTCCCATCCCCACCTACACTCACACATACACTATGTATATGCTTCTTTCTTGGCATAGATTTCTGGCCTTTCTACATGTTATACTATGAGAAGACTGAAAACCATTATAGACAAATTAACTGTCTTAGACAATGGCAAATATACAAACACACACACACATACACATACATTCTAGATGAAAAGGTGAGTTTTCTTTTAGGCAAAGGAAATAATGATAATTATTCTGGTAATTACGGACCTTACTGTAGCCAAACCTCAAACCTCAGATTCATGGCCACACTGTGTTCTCTGGACATCCTGTCCTGGCCCAGGATGGAATTCAGGGACAAACCGCCTTGGTAGGAGTAGGGGAAATCGACCAAGAATGAGAACACTTTGGTGGCTGCTGGTATTCAGTTGGCCTCGCTAATACCTTTTTAATGAGCAGAACAAGGTGGGATCTAGTTCTTTCAGGGTCAGATTTGTTTGAAAATGGCAACAGGAACAGATCTCTTGGAATTTGTGTTGGGCTTACATCACCTGGCTATTAAACTCTAAATAAACCTGCAATATCTACTGTCACATAAAGATGGATTAATTTAAATTAAAATTAGGAATAATTTTTATTAACTTTAAAACCTATTTAAGCAATTTGAATATAATTTTTAAATACAGTTCAAGTTGTTTTAACAATTTATTTCCAAGCTGTTCAAAAGTTTCTATGTTCAGATTCTTAACTATCTTCAGGAGTTCTATTATTGGGGTTATTTTTGGAAGATGAGATTAAGAGTAATTTTCTCCAAAGTCACATTGTCTAAAAGAGACAACTCTTATAATTTTTTTCTGGACGTACTTGATCTTTAAGTCATGTAGTTCATGATATAAGCACTACTTTAGAGAAACGAGTAAACTCATAAGGATGAGTTGCAAGGTCCCACATAGTTTAAGGAACTGTTTTCCTAACATTTCACTATGCTGGAAACAGGAAATAACAGTTATCTCATGAGTCTTTCTGCTTCATTTCCTTTTGGCTCTTTGGTGCTACAGTTCAAATAAATTTGGATCTGTATTGAAATATCTATCTATTTATACAAATCAAATCTTTATGTAATAACTTCTATAAATGAAAAATACTAAATTTTTGCGGGGAATTAAGAATTGAATATCATCCTTCAAATTTCAAAGTCTGGTTTTTGAACTCTGTAGACTGTTAAACATAAGAATACTGGCATTTAAAATTGGCAGAATATAACAGCATTGCTTAGAATCAATTCTTGGTTCATTATTTTCTCTAACTCATAGCTACTTTACATACGTAAATTCGTGAACATATATATGTTTGAATGTAACTTGAATCTCAAAATTCATTAATAGTCAAACAAAATACAAAGTTTTTGAGGTCAAAATCTCTTCTCACCAGGAAATAGTAGAACATCTAAGGTTTAACACATATTCTGCACTGATGGACAAATGGCCTATAATGAAATACTTCTGGATCAGAATATGTAGATCAGAATTAATTTCTATAGAGAATAGAAGGGGGTTATAGATGACAGTTTACGAATCCAAGGATTTTTATGTCTTGTAAAGGTAAGAATAACTAATTTAATTCTGTATGCCCTGACATCTTGCACTGTGTTGTGAATAATATATATTCTATATTGTGTAATTATCATATAATCATAGTATTATATAAATTCATATATAGTAAATTTTTAATGAATGAAAGTATTGTGAAATAGCAGAAGGTAAATGAGAAAGGGAAAGCAAACATTTTGATGAAAAACGTTTGTGATCATGAGGCTTCAAGGATGGGAATCTCACTCCTAAGATATTTAAACCTACGCAAGGTAACTGGGCAGGCTGCACTTGGATTCAAGCACTGTGTCAGGGGAAAAAAGGTATGAATATAAGCAAGGCTTATTCTGGGCTTTTTTCACAGAGCTTCTGATAAACATATCCAGGAGTCACGGGCATCTATGGATGCATTCAGAGATAACAGGTTATTATCTTAAGTGTCACATATTGATCATATCATATGGCATCTCAAAGAGAAAGCCACACCTTTGCTCACACACATTGATATATTATCTACCTCTTTACCTCTCCATCTCCTTGGTTAAGATACTCAAGTTTTTCTGGGAACTGAGGTCTGGTAGTTCAGAGACCTAAAGAGTAAGGATGCTTAAATCAAAGAGGTCATGTTTGTGTACAATGAAACAAGCACCCTGCAACCTAGAGGAACACCCTTTTTAGCAGTCCTGAGTCTGCTGTGCTGCAAAATAACCCAGCTACAACACAGCCAAATACATCAG